CCACTGTACATTGGTTGTTGGGGGAGAATAAGATGTACGGACTTGGCATGGTATGCTTATATTTAACTAAGTCTGGTTAATGAATTTTTCAAAAATACTTTTAAAATTAAAAAAAAAAAATTTTTCTTTGTTGTTATAGGGTTCTGCCTTACCCTTTAACCACCTCTCCAATCACTTCTTCACGTTTTGCATACCAAAGCCACCCCTACAGTAATTAGCATTTGCATAGTACGTACATGCATACTTATAATAGAATTAAACCAGATACATAGAATAAGCTCCATATATAAAGTTATTATACGGAGAATAGAGCCCATATATGGAATTATTCGGAAGCCGAGAACTCGGCATTTAATACTCATTGTAATGGGCCGGAAATATGTTTTTTGATTCTTTGCTCCATTTGTGCACAACTTCATAAAAGTCTTTTTGACGGAAGTTAGAGGGGGTTTGCAGGGTTGGGGGTCATAAGAAAGTTGATATACCTTGTGATTATTAGTTATGATTTTTTGGAGTTTGTAAGTTATTTGAGAAATCAAGAGCTGGTCAGGGTTTGAAGAGAAGTTGAGCTTATTAAGATGTTGTAGGGTATTTTAAAAAGAAAGGTACAGTGAAACTCATGTACGAATCGTTCGGGAATTATAAATCTGTCCGTTATGATGTTGATATACAAGAGTTTGATTAGTTTGTACAAAAAGTAATAAATGCACCATAATCATGTAAAAATTCAAAAACAAGTGGAACTAAAACGCTTATTTACTTTTCTGTGATCTTTTAAATTATTATGTTTTTTGGCTCATTTTTTTGAACAACTTACTAAATGCACTGTGCAGTTGTGTAGTGTCGGTGGTTTGTTATACAAGAGTTCATTGTATATTAAAAAGCTTTTTTTCAATTTCAAATTTTGGCATTTTGATATTGGAACGACTACTCTTTTCCTATTGTTCAGCTACTGTTTTAACCCTAGTTTTCAATTTTCAATCAATTTTTAATAAAATGCAAATTTCAAAAAAATTATTAAAAGTCAGACTAAAAATTATCATTTTTTATTTCAAGTATTCAAATAAAACAGCATTTTATATAAAATAAAACCTCATTGTCTGCAACAACATCTCTGATCTTTTCCACAGTAAACATCTTCCGAGTTTTCACCACACATTTTAGCACAGAATCTATGATGACAAGTAAAACTTTGTGTACAGATGTCTGCTAAGGTACTACACACAAGTCCAAGTAATATCACAATAAGCAAAAGATTCATTTTTAGTTTTAAAAGCAAAATTTTGTCGCAACTAAAAAAAAGTAGTTTGAAAAACAAATTTTTAAATTAATTTGATACGATCAGATGTAATGTAATACTAATAAAGATTAATGGTATGGTTTTGATTATTGGGCTGTGAAAAAAGTAACAAATTGTTTTTTAAAACTATTTTTTTTGAAAATTCTTATTTTCTTGACCTTTCCAATTCCAAGTTCACATAACCTTACACAAAACAGTACAATAACACCAAACACAAAAGATTCATTTTGTTTTAAGTTTGTTTTCGACTACCAGTATTCAAATTATGTGGTTCTTGCCTTCAGGCTGTTTTGCACTTTTTTTCGGAAATAAATTCTTTGGAAATTAAAATTTGTTTTTGGGCCGATGACTTTTCGGCGTTTGCTACAACAAGTTTGTTCAAAGATTGTACATGTGTTTTTGGAGAATTCAGAAGCGCACGTTTGTGAACTTGATGGTTAGAAATGTACTTTGGACTTTATGTCATGTTTTTCGAAGTTCACGTTTTTAACTGTCACTTTGTTTTACATTTAGATAAATCTGTAAAAAAGATGAGCCAAGCCTTAGTTTAGGCTTGGCTCTGGAGCCTACATGCCTTGGCTCGGCCTGACCCCTTTCCAACTTGCTGCTGCTTTACCCTACCATGCGTTGCCTTGCCTTGCTCTATTTGCTTTGCCCTATCTTGCCCTGTCTTGTTTTATCTTGATCTGCCTTATCCTAAGTACCTTCTTAACATTCTCTAGCTGATAAAAAAGCCTAGACCGGGTCAAATAAGCCCCCTTTCAGCTCTACACTTAACCCTTCTCTTATGTCATATTGTTACTTTTTCGCTATGGTTTACCTACTTTTTATCATCAACCTTTAAAAATTTATGTCATATTTTCAAAAACTCGATGTCATTTTACATTGTCAAAACTTTTTGTAAAGTAATTTCAGAAACGTTTTACAAAGTCATATGAACTTCTGTAAACATGATCTTATTGTGGTACATGTCACTTTACACAGTTTTGCGTTTTTCATACTGTTAATAGCGTTTTGGGTAATTACTTTACAACTAAATTTAAAATACGTTTTTGGGTTACACGGTAAACGTTTACTTTTAATATGAACTAAAATATTTTAACTCATACTTAACTTTATTTAGATATACCTTTTTGTTTCTACTGTCAGTTTGCCGTACGTCTATACAGTTATTTACACTCGAATTTAACGTAACAGAATGTTTTGCCCAAAACAACCTCATTTCCCATTTGATTTCCCATTTCCTCCTCCGTATTTTAGCCCACAACATAAATTTGTACTCCCTGTAGTTATCATCCCACTCAGAATTCAAGTGTGAGTAATTTAACCACGTTTTTAAATACCTCGAAAACATACTTTTTGAAATGTAATACAATTTAGCATTACCTACTCTATTTGACGCTTCATATTGTTATTCTTTTTTAGCTTACTTTACCCTACCCTACCCTACCCTACCCTACCCTACCCTACCCTACCCTACCCTACACTACCCTACCCTACCCTACATCCTATCTTGGTTTGCCCCGCCCTAGCTTTCCCTGCTTTTGCTTGCCCTGCCCTACTTTGCCCTACCTTAACTTTTCCTTGCCTTACTTTTGTCTGCCCTTTTATTGAAACTGCCCTAACTTCCCACTGCCTAATTTCCTCTGCTCTATCTTCCCATGCCCTATCTTCTCTTGCCATACCTTCTTGACCTGGCCTATGTTGTTCTGCCCTACCTTGCTCTGCGCTACTTTGCTCTACCTTTCCTTGCCCTGAGCTATAATATAATATTATACTTCGCCCTGTTCTATGTAGTCATAGTCTTACCTACCTTATCCAACCCTACCCTACGCTATCTTTCCTTAGGTCACGTTTTTTCAAAAATGCCTCACCCTATATGATTACATTTTTAGTTACCTTCACCTACCCCCAGCCACCTTTTCCAATACAATCTACCTCAATTACACTCCAAAAAACCTAAATTTAGCGAGCCTAGCTGAATAGCAGAGTAATGACGCAAGAGCAGGCATGAGAACAAAAAAAATATTTGGTTTTTCTTACATTTTGGTTTCTGATTATTATTCTGCGTGACAATTAACCCAGAAGGTTCTTCACCACCCTTCTACATTTGGAATATGCACTGTTGATGTCATTGAACTAGTGCTGCGGTTTGCACGAGGTTTTATATTTATTATGCTGGCGGTTATATTGTTGTAGGGACGTAAAATTGTTTTTATGACTTTGTAGTTTGTTTTGATTTATTTTGAATAGATGGGAGAGTTTTTTATTGATGTAGGTAGGTTTTTGAGTATTTTCTTCATATTTTTGGTTTTTTTTATTTTTAGTCATATTTTTATATTTTTTATGTTTTTTTACACATACATGTATGTTTCTCTACATTTTTTACTTACATTTATTAATATTCTTCTATTTTTCTATTTTTCACTTTAGATTTTCCCTATTTTTCATATTAAATTCACGTTTTTTATTAAGCTAGAGGATTGGTCAACATTTCAAAATAAGTTGTAGAGATTACACAGCCTCTTACAGTAAAATTATGGTATTAACTGGCGAAGAAGGACTATAAATAGAGATTATAAGTAAGCTTGAAGAGGATCCAGCCCTTATTCGTACGTTTTTTCTTTTTTTAGTAAGGTTGTCCTCAAAGTTCATAGATGTATTCACTATGTCAACAAACAGATTTTAACTAGGCAATAGATTTTTGGCTGAAAATACGTATAATTTGAGTTTTAAACGTGGTTTTTGGCAATTATTTTGGGTAAAACATGCTTTTTAGGCTTTTTTTGAAATAAAATCTAAATTTTTGGGACTTTATTGTAGTCCGTAAATTGTGATTATACTCTTATGATAAACATTAGTATTCCCTTGCTATCTCCGGTCGTATTTTACATATTTTTCAGCCAACAATCTTAACTTTGGCCTTATAAAAACAGTATTTTCCATCAAAAACACAGCCCTAAATCCCCAGTTTTTGGCCCGAAAATAACGAATAATAAAAATTAAATGAATTTTCTCACAATTTAATATTTTTACGTGAAAATATTTTATGCAGTATTTTTATTATGTCTAGGATGTTATTTACAACGTGTTACATGTCACCGACTGTTCGCAAAGTAATTCCTCTCTTCCTTTTTTCTTTTCGCGTCCTCTTGAAAGGCAAAATAAGAAGAGAGGGGAGTGTGGCTGAGTGGTCTAGTGGTATGATTCTCGCTTCGGGTGCGAGAGGCCCCGGTTTCGATTACCGGCTTAGCCCAAACGTTTTTGCAGTCGTTTTCTTTTGGTTTTTGGATTGGGAATGGATTATAATTGTAATTTATATGTTTTTGAATATATGTAAATTCATATTTTGTCTATTTAGAGCTATTTGAATAATAAAAACGTATTTTAATACAGCTTTTTACTTATAAATTTGATAAAACCTCCCTTTTTCGCGTTTTGAACAAACTTCTCCCCCAATTACCGACCATTTATCATCAACTTCTCACTTTTAGCCATTTTGCCCAAACAACATTGTTTCATTTGCCACATAGAAAGCTTCGCAAGAACCGGAAAACAGGAGGAATTCCCAGTTGACAGCCGAAGGTAGTGGTTTAAGCACGCAAATGTTGTTCGGCCCAAATAACACCTTGTGCGCCGTCGGCTAACGCGATTACTAGATGCTGGGCCGGCTGAAAAAGCGGCAGAGGGCGTGCTGAGAATGTCGAACCTGTCCCAATTCGAAAATGACCTGTCCAACCTTAACATTGCGCTGGGCGAGGATGAGACGTTGGAGACGCAGTGGTGGGTTACTGTAACTTTGGGGCGGTTTATGGGTTGAGTATGGCTTTGTCATAGTATTTTTTTAAGTCTTTTTCAAAAATTTCATTAAAATTTTTACAAAACTTATTTTATTAGTTTGTATAAGAAGTAATGGGCTATAGAAGCTCCATATTAACCATGAGAAATAGCTCATCACTTTTTATACAACCTAACATTATATCCAAATTTTGAAAAAAATCTGAAAATAGTGACGTTTCTGCCATTCTTTATTAAAATCGAATAAAAAATTCAATTCCAGGCAGTTTCTGTTCCTAGTCACAGTACCCATAGCTTGCATAGTGGGTAATGTGCTGGTGATCTTGGCAGTATGGACCACGAAATCGCTTCAAACTCCTACCAACTACCTCTTGGTGTCGTTAGCATGCGCTGACTTACTTATCGGATCTACGGTTATGCCTTTCAGTATCTATGTCACGGTAAGTCGGGTTGTTTTGTTACCTAAAAATTAAATTTTTGTTTACCTTCCAAACAGGACTTTTTCACAAACACATAGTTCTACATATTATACTAGAAACACTTACCATCGCTTTCAATATTATGCTATTTAGTACCATAATGTAGCCCAGTACCTTTCCAAAAATACCGTAATTTCGCGAAATTTCCGTTTTCAAACCGTATTTTAGGTGAATAATCTCCACTGGCATCTGAGCGCTTTATGGTGCCATTTGTACACAATGCTGGACGTATGTGCCTCAACAGCATCAATAGTACATCTGGTGCTGATTAGCATTGATCGACTGGTCGCTGCGACGAAACCAGCCGAATACAAGACGATGAAACATCGCCGACGGGTCTATTGCGCAATATTTGGAGCATGGTGCTTTAGTATCTTCCTCGCACTGCCATTAGGTGGGTTTGGCATATTTTTGAAATTTTGAAAAAAAATTTTGAAAATTTTAGGATTTTTTTAAATTTAAAAAATGTGACCTAATTTTGAAATTTTTTTAAATTTTTGCCAATTGCAAACGTTACTTTTTCAACATTACACCCATTTTACACAGTAAACTCCCCATATGTCATTCTATTACCTCAATCCTATTTCAGTATCAATTGGTCACGCCAATACTGAGCTCGTACTGCAAACCAAACATCATTGTGGTATCTACAATCCCATGTACATGTTGTACAGTTCGATCTTTGCGTTTTATCTACCCTGTGTCATCATGTTACTCACATATGGCTACATTTTCTACACGCTGAAGAAACGGTTGAGGGCGATTCAGCTTCAGGAAATGGCTGGAGGCCAATTCCTCGGCTTCGGCGCTGATGTCGGAAACATTGCTCAAAGTGCAATTGAAACTGTCATTGGTAAGGCACATGAGAGGATATTATAGGCACATTGTTACCTAAAAAAGATTTTTTAAATAAAATTTTGGTTTGTTACCTAAATTAACTTTTTGGACAAAAAATAATTTTTTTTACCTAAAAAATCATTTTTATGTCAAAATGGATTACCTTAAAGACAAATTTTTACAAAAAATTTTGATTTATTACCTAAAATCCTACTTTTCCGAAAACCTTTAAAATTTTAGTCTACAACAATATAAATCAGCTATATTCTCCATCACAAACTCAAAAACCCAAATATAAACTCACAAAACCCTTAATATTATAGGTATTGAGCCCCGCAACCGAAACATGATCAGTTGGGAGAAGCCGTTGCTGAAGAAAATCGAAGAAACAGCGGCCGAACACGCCAGCTCTCTCAATGACAGTGAAAGAGAACAAATTCAGAATCTTTTAGATGCATATCACCCCTCATCGTCCGGTTCACAAGAACTTACGACTCTCGATGAATATCCGGAACGTCCACCGTCCGTCGTTCTTGAGGCCGTCACGTTGAAGCAGCAGATCTACGAATCTGCTCAGAACTCGCCCAAACTTGAAGTACCTCCTTCGTCGCTTTTGCTTCAGAAAATGTAGGTTTTGAGGGGTTTAAATGGTGGGAAATGGAGGTTGTTACCTAAAATAATATAGGGCAAATAATATTTTTTGGATAAAATCATACTTTTATAGCTAAAACGATACTTTACAGCTAAAAATATGTTTTGTTTTTTGTGTTCTTGAGTTAACACAATATTTTATAGCTCTTTAAGTTCTAAACGCTTGAAAATCAAGGAAAAAGTGGGCAAAACTTACCTAAATTTTAAGATTTCATATTGTTTTATTGATGTTATCCATCAATAAACCCACCCACCCCAATTTAACCTACAACAACATAATTTCAGATCAAAAACTCGTCGCTTCTCCGAAACTCTTCAAACCACATTAACTCGAACTCGACGAAAATCCTGCACCAACAACAATAATGTGAACAACTACGAGAGTTTCAGCTTTTCCCAAACCAAAAACCGTCGTTTTTCAGTCCAGCCAGCAAGTATGATGGCTCAGAATCAGCCACGCGACTCTCAAAGCCTTCTGAGACCGTATCGTGGAGGGAAACAGATGAGGCGGTTGTCTGAGATTATCAGTGATTGGGAACGACCATCACGCTCTTCGCTGAGTCAGATGTACAGTTTTGCACGAAGGGAATCGGTGTATATTGCAAGGAAGAAGCTGGCTGGGTTAAAGGATTGGGCCTTGGATTTGCTGGCTAAATTGAAGTCGAAACAAGGAATGGCAGTGAGGAGGGAGGCTAGGGCTACCAAGTTGGTCGCTACTGTTATGTGTGAGTTTGAATTTGTGTTTTTGAAATATTCAGCTTTATAAGTGTAGGTATTAAGGGTTTAAAATACCTTTTTCATCTACCTCAATATAAAATTTAAAGATTCATAAACCTTTTTTGATCTTTTCGCTTCAAACTGATCATTTCGACCTTATTTTAGGTGTATTTTTGATCTGTTGGCTGCCGTTCTTCACGTTGAACACGATCAAAGTGTACTTGTTGATGGTGAAAAGCTGGGATACGGATTACGAAGGGCTGTTTCATTGGCTGACTGCATTAGGATACCTCAACTCATCGCTTAACTTTTTTATCTACTCTGCAATAAATAAGGTGAGGAAGTGATTTTTAATACCTATTTCCTTGCATGGTCATTTATGCCATGCCAAAGTATAGTAGCTTGCTTTTAAGGCTAGAAATTACAATTTTGATGTTTTTCTTCAATAAAAATCCAAAATTTCAGAAGTTCCGCTCGTCTTTCCGTCGATTAATTGGCCTCCGACGTGGACATCAAGGCAAAACATGGATGTTACCTCCAAAACAGACGAAACAACAAAAAACAAAGTGCTCCTGTGGGTGTCAGCCATTCAAACGGGTCAAGGAGACAACATTGAGGAAGGCTAGTTCTGTTGGGTGAGTTGATATTAGCTTTACAGTCCTATCGATTTAAATTAACATAAGTTTTACAGTTCTTTCAAGCTAACTTAACATAAGCTTACAAGGAAAGTACCCAACCTGCCCCGCTCAGAGTCAGCTCAAAATTTTTATATGAACTCTTGTACCGATAGTAGTACCCATAAAAAGTTTTGACCCGCTCTTTTGAGTTTTAAATTTGAATTATTTTGGTTTCCCGTCACTTTGGCATTGTGTTTCAAACACTTTTTTTAACTTTCCAGACAAGCTACTTACAAATTTAAAAATGCAGGTTCATTTAAAGGTTCTCCACTAGTATATTATAGAAAAATTATTAAAAGTCAAAAAAGACAAAATTATAAGCTTGAAACACAATGCCAATTTGGCGGGAAATTCAAAATGTAATTTTTTGATCTTGATTTTCTCGATGTTGGCTAGAAGGCGAGATTTAATACTTTGTTGAAGATCTTACTTTTACATAATCTTTCTATATAAAAAGTTTGAAGTCAATCAGAGCGGGGCAGGTCGGACACTTTCTTTGTAAATTATTATAACATAAGCTTTGACGACTTTTCTTAACCTATTTTAACAATTTTTTCTTTTAAAATCTGATGTTTCCTATCTTAACTGGCTTTACATACTAACATATACTAACAATCGTCTTATTTCATTCAAACTTTGTGATTAGATACTAATAATGTCATTTTTTCCAATCTTCCATCTTATTTTTCTTACTAACTCATCATAATACTGCGTGCTGACTCTTTTTTTTTAACAGTTTTTTTTAAATTTTATTTTTAAGACGGTTTTTTAATTTTAAACTTCATTTTTATTTAAAATTTTGAACTTTTTCTTTGGTTCGCACATCACCAATATCAGTTTAATGATTTTAACAGATGTTTAAGGATGCTGGGCCGCCGCTTCGAAGTGAACAAGCCAGAGATTGTGATAGACGAGGTGGTGAGTGTCATCAACCAGGTCTCGATCTCGGAAGGCGGACGAACCACGTTTAGGTGAGGATTCTGAAGTTTTGAGCACAATTATGTTTGCTTGCATTGTCTTTGGTCGTAATTTGACAGTTTTGCTTCTACGGACTTTGCTTTTGATGATATAGTATTAGGTTGTTCAATTGATTCTGTGTTTCCTTTCAAAGCAACTTTTTGTGGGTAGGGAGCACAGAATTATGTGAAAAAATTAATAGAAGTAGTTTTGTTAGTATTAGGGATAGTTTGATAAGAAAAATATTATACTAGCTTGTCAAAAAAAGTCTTGTCGCTTTTGACTGTGAAAATGAGTGAAAATTGGCGACAAGACTTTTTTTAATTAAAAGTTTTTGTTTTGCAAAATTTTTTAAAAAGTGTGAAAATGATAACTATAACTCAAAAAAATATTTTCTAACTTATCTATTTACAATGTCTACTATAGGTCAAAATCAAAGAAATTATTAGCTCAGTAGTTTCTATACAATTTAATGTTAGTTTTTCAAATAATTCTGTGCACCTTGCAAATTTGTTTTCATAAGGAGCACAGAACTATTTGAACAACCTAATAACAAATAAAATAAACATCGAAAACCTTTGATATCATGGTTAATATAAATAAATGTTTCAGACGATCATCAGACGACGCTATGCATCGTTCTTCTTCTGAGATTCTTGGTGGTGTTACATTTCCATCAAATCATGATAGTAGACGTGGGTCTGGCATGAGCAATTCATCAGCATCGCTGCAACTTCACGATATGCATCAGATAGCCGAAGCGTCGTTGAAGGATGCTGAGATCTTTGTTTAATGGAATATGTCAATACCAATGTCTTAGGCTTTTCTTGGATTTGGCTACTTGACAGGCTTGTCTACGACTGTTTCTAGGCTTGTCTTGGGTTTTTACTGCGTATCTATATTGGAATAATACTACATATATTAAGGTAGCTACTTATAAACAGGCGTATTGCAATGTCATACCTAGGTATACCTATCATAAGATTGACTACACCATTATTAACTTTCCTTGATCTTTAACATCAAAATTGATCTCAAATATACAGCTAAATCGACCGGTAATGTTACAGAATGATCTCACGAAAACAATCATATTGATCTTCTGTCAAGTTTTGCTTCCTACAACTAGACCTGTAAAGGTCGAGTACCCTCGCTTTCAGGTCGATCTACGACGATAAAATACGTTGTATTATAATAATATTCGATAATATCATTGTACAGTTCTTTTCTTCGTTTTTCTAAAATGTTATGTTTGATGTTCAAATAAATTTTACATTGTTTTGAATACGATTTTGGACGATACTGTGCATCTATATTGATCACGGCTCCTTACAAATCAGCTAACACAATATAAATCAACTACTACAATACAAAGCATTGATTACTCATCAAAAGTTGACGTTTTTGAATTAAAAATAAATCTTGCAAAGCCCCAAGTTCTAGAACTTTTAAGCTTAGGTTCTATAATACGATTACTGATCAGACCAATACGAATATTTCTCAATAAGTTGTTTTTTGTATCATGTTAATTTATGTTAATATTTCCGCATTTTTGAAAAGAACTTTTTGATCAAAAAATAGTTTCAAATACAAATTATACAGCTTTTCAAGATGGATAGGCTTATTGTTAGCTTTAGCGTTTTATGACTTTTTGGGGATTTTTAAAAATTAGTGAAACAGTCCGGGCATGCTTATGCAGTGAAGAAGTAAAGCATTAAATCAAAGTTTATACTTAAGATTCAATTGAATAACATGATCAATTTGCTAATTTTAGGCCATTTTTCTGATAAGATAAGTTTAAAAACTAACATAAATTTTAAAAAATCTCAAAATGAAATTCCCTTTTTCCGTTTTATTTGTATTTTTGGTTATGTTCGGATTAAAGTGATTTTCTTAATCTGTTCATCCTGGAACATTGAAAGCTCTCACCGTTTTTTAATAGTTTTGCAAAAGTTCAGGGGACTTTTTCCGGTCTTTTCGCGCAGACGCTCCCACGTTCAACCTTGTAGCCCTCGTCCTACCAGTCGAAACGTTTCCCCGTAACTTTTTTACATGACAAAAGAACACTTTCCCCGCTTTTTGGATTAACTTTATCCGTTTTTGATCTTGATGACCTTTGAACGTGACAAAATGATTTTAAAAGTTTGAGGGGGTAGGCGGCGTTTAGGGTAGTTTTATTAGGGGTAGTTTTTACTATTAGATAATGACCAAAAATGTTAAATTTTGCTAAAAGCTTTATACTACTAAAAGGTTTGTATATGCAAATTTAAAAAAATGGCGTATCTGCTTTTTACAAGGTATTAAATATGTTGTATAGTAAGCTACTACAACATATTTTTAAAGTTTTTTAACACTAACAGTAAACCCAGTGATTATAACATTTATTTTTAACTTCTTTTTTGTATGTAATGTCTCACCAACTATTGTAATACAATTAAACCACCTTTCTTCGCTTTGAAATGTCATCAAATTTGAATGAAACTTGATACAATAGCCTTGGGCGGTCTTTGTTCACGTTTAATAAGAAACGTTTTGTAAACAAAGGTAAACAAACAAACCAACAACATTTTGATGAATTTTTGTTTCCAAAAGTTGTAGCCGGCTTCTAATCTTGTTGTTTTGATTTATGTTGTTTATGGGCTTACAATGACCTATTTTTTACGTAATAAATAGTCGATAATGATCAAAATGTTCCGTTTTTAAAGATTGAAAAGGTATTTAAAGTGGATGATCAAATTGTTATTGGTTTTCTAGGTTTTTGAAGTTAAGCTAGGCTGTTTTGAATCTATTTTTTTAAATTGTAGTCGTTCATGTGTCATATTCATTTTGCGGTATTATTCTAGCTGATTTTTTTAAAAGTAGTTAATCACCCAAATTTTTTTATAATAAAATTAAAACTTTTACTTATTATACAACTACACAATATGTATTTTTATGTTCTATGTCATATTTCTTCAATTGGCATCTTCTTGTCTTCTGCAGCCTGCAGTCTCGCGGGGGCAGCCAGCACGCGCTGGTAATTTATTTGTTTACTTGTTTTTACAAACTCTTGTCCATTTTGACCTCAAATCTAATCAAATAACATATTTTATAGTAGATAAGGCAACGCTTTATTGTTTTGTTGTGTAAACGGATTACTTTTTTGTGGATTTTTTGAATTTTAATCGGAAATCCCTGGAATTTCCCGTTTTTACGCAGTTTTTTGCTTTTCGCTCCATAGTTTACTGTTTATATTGTACTTTTATGCTACCAATGTTGAAGTAATTTACCTATTTTTAATTTATTTTACAAGAACTATGATATTCTGAACATTCTCTTACCACACTATCAATTTTATTGAAGCAGCAAAACTAAAACAATTTAATTTCGTTGAAAGTATGCTTTGACGTCAAAGATTAGGTTGAAATATGGGTAATGTGATCAAGGTAAGCTACTTTATGATCCTCTCCAGCTGATTCTTACCCAAATATTTGGATTTCGCGCTGCTTTTTCCGATTCTCCTTCGTCTTCCGATATAAAGGTTGATGACGAACGAGCCGGTGTCGTTATGCCATTATTGTTTTTACGTGCGATGTTTAGTAAGACATCTTCTTCATTGTTTTACTGTTTATTCTGTGTTTTAATATTGTGGTTTGAAGTGGTCATTCTACTGGAAAATGGGTTTACATTGTGTTAGGGTAGCTTTTTGGTATGGTGGTTAGCTTTTTGGTCGTAACTTTGGTGATTGTAGTTGTCAATGTATGATTTTGGTATTAAAATAGAGCAAAATAAATGGGTTTCACTATTTTGTATGTATATGTTGTTTTAATTCGTTATTCTTGCTTAAAAAATTGATTATTTTGTGTTAGGTTAAAACACTGTCGTTATCTTTCTTTTGGTCATAACTTTGTTTCTTGTCAGCGATTTTAATCTTCGTGAAGCAAAGTTATCTTGTTTATAATATAAGTAAATATTTATCATTTTCAGAGGGTCTCACTGCAAATGCTACGCAACGCCTTGATATTACACATAACAGTGTTGGCATGGCTCTGTTCAGCCGAATTCACACCGGATTTTCGTAGTTTTTTGAGTAGAAAGTTTGGCGATGATGTTGCGAGACAGCTGGAACGATTGGATCAGGGACATTTGATGATGGGTAGTTTTGGCGGGCGAAACAACAAGAACCAGCTTATTCACAATAGGGTAAGATAATCTTAGTTATTGCTAATTGATTTTGGAGGTTTTAGGAGAAAGTATTTGGTTTTATAGTGCTATAAATTGTGTAAATAAACATAGTATGTATCTAAATATGTATAACTGTTCGAAAAACTTTAGCCCGTTGTTTTTGTTCACGGCACAACGTCGACAGCCGGCTTCTGGTTGCCTCATCGCCGCTTCTTCATGGATAACGGGTATTCGGCAGCTGAACTGTACGCGACAACATACGGCGATGGCGGATTAACACAAGGCTTATTCATCAAGAAAATGGATTGCGATGACGTTCAGGCGGTGAGTGTTTCGACAGTATATGATCCATGGTTAACTTTACTTGTTTTTTGTTTTAAAAGTTGATTTTAACAACTTTTGTTTTAAATTACGGACGGAAAAGTTAATTTTTGTTATTTATTCAGTTTTTAAAATAATTATTTTATTTTTAGGTACGAAACTTGATCGTGGCAGTGTCCCAGTACACAAACTCAAAAGTTGATGTGTTGGCCTACTCAATGGGTGTGGCTATAACGAGAAAAGCATTGTTGGGTGGGGAATGTGCGGATACCAAGGCGAATCTAGGCGCACCGATTACTTCTGCTGTGGAAACGTTCTTATCAGTGGCTGGAGTGGCGTATGGAATGCAGAATTGTCTGCCAGCTTGGCCTGCTTGTAACACTTTGAATGGCATGATATGTACATCTGAGTTTCTGGTAAGTTTGATCTGTTGACATTGCTTTTTATGTTTTTAGGTATATCTTGTTGGATCGTGATCAACCAATTTAAATTTATTAGTGGTTTATAAAGTTATGTCGTGTTTGATCTTTTAAAAATTGACTACAACACTTTTAAACCAGTTTAAATAGATCTGGACCTTAGTAAAACTTCTTTTTATTCTCTCTTTCTCTAACTCTCCTTTTTTTCCAATGACAATCCTCACCAAAATATTGATTTTTTTAAATTTCCAGAGAGATGTTAACGCTCCAAGCCAGAAGTACGAAGGCGCCAACTCGTATGCCATCTACAGTCGAGACGACCCGATTATTGGTCTTCAATGTTGTGGTCATTATTGCTCCGAACTCAAGAATGCCAATTTGACGATAGTACGAAGTGGTCTGGATCACCTGGGAATTGTGTTAGCAACAGTGGACCTTCAGTACAATATATTAATGCACAAGCGAGCTGATGGCATTTAAGATGTTATTTAGTGTCTTACATGTTATAGATACCCTATCTTAAGTTTTAGGTATCTTTTCTGATGTTTTAGATATCTTTCTTGGTGTTTTAGGTATCTTTACTGATGTTTTAGGTAACTTTTCTGATGTTTTAGTTATTTTTCTTGATGTTTTAGGTATCTTTACTGATGTTTTAGGTAACATTTTTGGTGTTTTAGGTGTCCTATTTCTCTCAAGTTACGCATAAGAGATATAAGTGACTTTTTATGGCATATTATGATGTTTTTCATGACAACTTTATATTATACTGCCGAAACTACTCTCTTTCAACGATTTTTTTGTGACTTTAATATCGTTTTTGACATAATGCTTGTTTAATCTAACCATCTTTGTTTCTAACATACTGTACATTCTCTGAACTCTTGTCTTACATCGGGTATATTGTTATAACTCTTTCAGCCTTCATGTTGTACAATATTCTTTGTTTTAAATTTTTCATGTTGCGCTATTTCCTTGTACTCTTAACTGTTTGTACTTAAAAGCATACTGCACTAACGATTTTTATGTTTATTCAATAATTACTTGTTCAATAAATACGAAACTACTCGAACCGATTATCTTGTACAGGTCGCAACGCCTAATTAATACCATTTTAGGCACGAAACCCTAAAGTATGCATATTAGGAAAAGCTTGGGACGAAAACCGTAAAGACATTTGTAGGCAGATAAGCGATAACCACGCGTAAATACGAGAAAATGAAAGACTTTGTTAATATACAGCATGTACTTGTATATCTGAAAGAAAATAACGGGGATATGGCTGTTACTTTAGGCTTAACTTTACACTTTTAACAAAGTTTGAAATTCAAGCCTAAAGTAACATAAATATACAAGAAAAAGTAAAATAACGCCTTGTGCTATATAGTATTACATAAATAAGTCTTGTGTAAGAGAACTATCTCATAAGCAAGACGAAAAACATTATAAACCTAAGACGCGCTAACTACAACAATATAAAATTAATTATGAAGATACGAAGCAACTCGTAGAAAAACATATATACCGACAACACCAAGAGATGACAATGTTACATACCAAAGAGATGAAGACGTCAAATTGAAAGAATTTGAAAAAACGACTATAAAATCATTAAAGACGGCCAAAAGTTAACACAAAAGGCCACATAGATAATAAAAAATGTAACTAATTACTATAAAGTAATCAAATAAATAATAAAGGTGTAAATAATTACCCTAAAGTAATCAAATAGGTAATAAAAACACAAAACAAAACGTGATTTAAGCACGGTTTCGCTTTTTGAAATCGTCTACATAATAATCAATAGTTGCCATTAGCCCCGTTTCGAAAGGCGTACTGCACTGCCATCCCAAAGCCTTGCGGATCTTCGAGAAGTCAATGTTGTACCTCCGGTCGTGGTATGGCCGGTCTGGGATTGGGGCGAATGTGGGCTTGGTTTGGTCTCTGGAATTGGCAAGGGGTTAATAATTTTTAAAAAATTTTTAAGGCGGGTAAAGAGTAAAGATAACATGAAGGGGTAGTGCTTGATGGTTTTTTCATTTTTCAAAAAAATTAAAAATTTTTTTTAAATTCAAAAAAAAATTAATATACACCATTCCAGCTTCTAAAAAACCCACGCTCTTAGAAATTTTTTAAATTCATACCTCGCCATCTTTTTCAGAACCAGCCTGTGGATCATCTGTGTCAGTTCTAAGTTGCTCTTCTCGAACTCGATTCCAATATTGTAACACTCTCCAACTGAACCCTGTTCTGTGACACGCTTAATAGCTTCAGCACAGTCATTCACAAACATCCAGCTACGAGTATGTTTACCATCGCCCATTAGTGGGTATGGTTTGCCTTCTAACGCCAACTTGACGAACTTTGGAATCAGTTTCGAGTAGGCTTGTCGTGGGCCGTAGACGTTGTTCATACGCACCATGACATATGGGAGTTTGTACGATCGGTGGTAGCTATTTACAATGTTTTCGCAGGCCGCCTTACTGGCCGCGTACGGGTTCGTGGGGTTTGGCAGGGATTCTTCTGTCTTTGGAGCTTCGTCCTCGCCCGAATCGCCGTACACTTCGTCCGTACTGATGTGAACAAACTTTTGCACGCAGCCGGCACTCTTCACGGCTTCGAGTAGTGATGTGGTGCCGATGATGTTCTCCTGAATTGTGCCGATTCTATCACTGTACGACTCGTCGACGTGTGTGACTGCGGCAAAGTGTATCACGGTGTCAACCTTGTTCTTGGTGATAATCTCAGCGACCAACGGAATGTTGAGGATTGTGCCTTCGACGAAAACATAGCGACTTGAGTTGCGCAACGACACTTCGACGTTCTCTTCGCTGGCGCCATGTGCCAGTTTGTCAATGTTTATTATCCTAAATTTGTTGGTTTAGGGGTAATTTGGGATATAAGTTTTTTTTGTTTGAGACGCTATAGCTTAGTTATTATAGCTTATAGATACCATAATTCAACTACTATTAGCCAAAGGAAAAGCCTAACAAAATAGCCTCCTTAAAACACAAAGATCCTTAAATTTTAGTTGTTTTAGTAATTAAAGGTTTAAAGTATAACTTCAAATTTTTAAAGTATTAAACCTTATGGTTCTGGTTTATTATAGGCTTAAACCTCAAGTAAAAAACTCACTTGGCATGTCTCCACTCGTTGAATGTAATATTAATGAAATTAGAGCCAATGAAACCGCACCCACCGGTTACCAGCACGACCTTTGGCTCATGTCGCTCAGTCATCACCTAACAATGGTAATTTTAAAGATATATTCACAAAGACAGGGTGAATGCTACAAAGCTCGTGCTTTTTAAAGTACAGCGCAGTATGAATAAATAAGATGTTAAAGGGATGTATATTGGTATAAAGCCCTATGGTATAACATAATTTTTAAGCTTAACCTGATCTAATGATCAAGATATCTTAGGATATATTAGTCAAAAAGGATAAAAAGAAAACCAAATCAAAAAGCGATTCGAAATGTATCAAAAAAGCTTGGAGCAACTAATTTTTCAAGCAAGACAGTACTCAACTACTTCAATATATAGAACAACCGGCTACTGCAATATATGACACTAAATATCAACCACAAAAGCCAATAAGTGTATAGCCAAAGCCAGTTCATACTAGCAGACTACACAAAAAACCGCAAAGTCTCCAAATTGAAACTCCTCACAGCAACAACCATTAGGTTGGACGTCGCGAAACACGGTATGACATAAACCCCAAATCCAACTTATTCAACTCTTGACGCCCCAACCCAAGCGTACTATTAAACGAGTTTTGGGCTAGAAAAAAAAACGCAAACCCTCCTGAATCCGCTGATTCGGCTTTTTGGAATGGAAAAAGGGAAAAGCTCAAACCGCAGCTCTTTAAACGGCACGACCTCCAGCCCTCGCCCAAAAAAAGCGTTGCCGTCCACCAGCGACGGCGACGACGGACCAACGCAAGGAGGCTGATAAGGATGTATTGAAGAAGAGAGAAAGAATTTCGGGATGGATAATATAAGTTTGCGAATTGGATGAAGAAGAACTGGCTTCAGACGAGTTTCGGGATTGAATTCGTTGAGCGACGTTTTTTATGCGCGCCGAATTGAACGATCAGACGTTTTTTTTCGAATGAAGAAGCCCTGCGGCGGAAACCAGATCTTGGTTAATTAAAACTATAATCAGGAAACGGCAATAACGGCTGCATCACCCCCTCTCGGAAATCACTGTATAAACACTACCAGCCTCGCCCTCCCAGGTTGCGAAGTCGCCCATTTAAAAATGGTGGTATTAATGGCAGTTTCTTAAAGTAAACATGAGCGACACCCCTCAGAACATTGCTACTACACTAATGAACCACCCTGGTCTTCATCGTATCAGTGACTGCCTTAGCGCACAGTAAACTACTCTGCCCTATCATACCTTACCGTAACCTATGCTACCGTACCCCACCTTACCGTAACCTACCCTCACCACCCTTCTCAGAGGCAGCAGATAAGCCTCTACCTTCAATCTCAACATCATCTTCCTAATAACCCTCCCTAATCAACACCCCCTGCTCGCTCTCCCCAATCACAACATCATCACCATACTTCTAAACAAAACCATCACCCCTTCTGAACTAAAATGTCACCCCCTATCACCTCAAAACCCACGTCGCCACCCCGACCCAACAAAACCGAACAATCCCACGAATTAAAAATGCCTGAATCGCCTCCGGCTCCCAACGTTTTTATAGTGCAGACGAAGCAGAGCAAAAAAAAGACTGAATTATTATGCGATTAAACGCAACAAAAGCAAAAGTTGCTCATGAAGAAGAATGACGAGATTTGTTAATGATGATCGATGCAATTCCCGAGAAAAGGCACGAGTTAAATTGAACCGGCATCCGGTTTCAATCGAGACTCCATCGATGTTGTAACAATGAGTTTGCAAAACATTTTAGGTTGAGGTTGCAATCTGCAGTTAGTATACTGATTAGAACTTGCAAGACGGTAGCTTATGCTAGGAGGGGGGGAGGGGACAAAGAGAGGGTATGGGGGGGGGGAGAGGTTTAATTTTTAAAGAAGAGAAAAATTTGATAGTAAGAAAGATATAGTCCCAGAAGATAAGACAACCACAAAAAGTGTTTTAGAATTCCCTCTCTCTCTCCTCTTCAGCGCTGACTTTAGGCCTAACGTTTGTTTAGAAAGGCCATACCTTATGAAACTTTGAGTATAGAGTCAACTTTTGGTCCCCCTAACAGTACTTTTAAAACAAATTATAGCCTTTTCAGAAATTTTAAAACTAACTATCCCCTTATTTTAAGCATCCACCTATAACCTTTTTGAAGTTTCAAAGAGCAAAACCTTTCCCTTCACCAAGCTCCCTTTCCGTTCACTTTCCTTCGGAAAACAAATCACTTCGCCTCCGTGGTCTCGTGGTGTAGTGGTTATCACGTCTGCTTTACACGCAGAAGGCCGCCGGTTCGATCCCGGCCGGGACCTCAACCTTTTTTGCTTATTTTCAAATTTCTACAAAAATTTTACGGAAAAATAATTCTTAATTTCAAATATTATTTTTTACAATTTTTTATAAAGCGGTATTTATTTATAAATTTAGCCCGCAGTTTTTAAGTTCAAACGTTAATATAAAACATTTTTAAAAAAATGAAACCAATCTCATTCCTTAATTAATCAGTAACTAACATTATAAAGCTATCATTACACCTACATATCCATAAAAATACAAATACATGTAAAACTAAACCGAAGCTCATTTCAAAAAGACAGAATTGCATATTATTTGTTTGAAAAACGTTTTTGAAACCAAAACAAATGACTTTTTTCCCAAACATTAGAATACGTTTAACAAAGTCAATTTTAAATTAGATGTGACTAATTCTTTGCCAAAGTACGGATATAGTAGAATCTTTTTATGATTATGAGGATCAATAGGAGCACGTTATAATACAGTGAAACCTCTTTAGTATGACCCTCTATAGTATGACACCATCTTTATAATGACAGCTTTCTAGTCTCATTTTGTAATAGAACCCTTATCATAAATTACCTTGACATTGTGACAGCGTGGTTATGAAGACAAGTTAGAACCAAAGCCTTGAGTGTCATACTAAAGAGGTTTTGCTGTAACTCTGGCTATAGCTACAGAATCGTATAGTGAACACAATCCTAGTTCTATGAAAAAGTTCTTAACAAAGACACTTTTACAGTACTTCATAAATACGTAAAGTGCCCAGTCTATACTACACACAATGTTAGTATTGTCTACAAAAAGTAACTACCTTAGTCGCAAAATGTTGATATTGAGTAGTGCTTCCAGGAAAACCGACTCTGGTGGCACCTACTACAACACCTAATACAAAACTAATTGTCTCCCTAACACCAAGAAAAGCAAAACTTTTTTGACATCAAGATCTACGATTTAAAGAGTGGGCAAGTTGCCAATAAACAAAGTAATATTCAAAACAAAATTTACTTAAGTTAAGATTAAAGCTAAGTATATTATCTAGATGAGCCCGAGACATCATTGTTTCAAGCATTTTTAACTTAAAAAAACCAAGTTATTAGTTTGTTCAATTAATAATGTGCCCTCTCGAAGCAAATTTCGGCCTTAGAGGGTACATAATTATTTGAACAATCTAATATTAATAGATCTTTTTACCATTACAGTTACCATTAGCTTCTATCATAAAAACCCTATCTCTATCCTACAAAAATCCAGTACAACAAGCCTAAGGCATTTTTTGAAGGTTTTAAGGTTAGTTGTGCAATTTTTGTTACGTAAACTTTGTGAAGCGGTCTCACTTCCTGACCGACCGAGAGTTAATAGAAGGGATCCATGGATTACTCTTTTCTTTAAAACAACCAGTTCTCGATGAATCGTCGACTCAAATCATGTTGTTCATGTGTTGCGTTGACAACAAACCCACACGAATAACTTGTTATGCGACCAGATTTATGTAATCACATCGAAGATGTGCGTTATTACCTCAGTCTGATTCGGAAATGAAACGGCGCCTAAGGGGGATTGAAGGCACTAAAGTTTAAAGATAAACTTGGTTGATCCAAGTTTATTTTTAAAAATAGTGGATATCAGTAAGATAATGTAGTTATCGTTAAACTTAAATTACTTAGGTGCTTGATGGACAATCAATTTTAGAAAGTTTCATTATTCGTCGCTTCACTATGGTTAGATAGAGGTGAGAAACGGGCCGTGTGGGCCCAGCGAGACCTTACAATAGAGGTTTTAAAACGGGCTGGGCCTAAACGTTGGAGCCCGTGCTGGGCGCAAAAGGGGGGTTTTATTTAAATAAAAACAAACTCAAATCGTAATTTTTGACCCAATTATTAAACATTAACTAATTTAATAAACTTGTACAAAAATTCGTACGGTACAGAAATTCTTAGTATAAAAAACTTATATTGTCTTCCTTAGATACGTCTGTAATAGACAAAACAAGAACATTACTCACATACTCTATCAAATTTAAAATTTTAAAAATTATGGTTCAAAACACAGTGAGGAAATCCCTGTATAACAATCAACTCTATAGCAAAAATACCGTATAACAAACAACTTTTAAATCCCTAGCCAACACTATGAAGTGCATTTAAAACCCTTATGTACCGCAACTTTTTTATAATAAACAAAATTGCAATTCCCAAACAATTCGTTATACAGAACTTCCATTGTACATGTATTAAAACACAAAAAGTCCCCTACGCTTGACAAAGCAAAATTCCAAGTCAATCCGATTCCTTATCAGTCCAAAAAACCGTTAATTTTTAAAACTTATAAAACGCAAAACCCTTTACTTTAATTTATTTACGAGATCACTCTAACACAAATTCAAACTTAATTAAATCTGCTTCAAAACTTAATGAAACTTAAAAACGGAAGTGTTTCCCTATACTTCAAAAAAAAAGTGTTTCATATCCCCTTAACAGTCGGATCTTAGAACAAACCACAAAACAAGGATAAAAGGGCATAGGAGAAAGTGATGACATCACTCGACGACCTAATTTCTAGTGCAAATTAAACAACTTTTAGTCGTCAAAACGGTTTCGAAGAACACTTTTTCAAAAAGTTTTAGTAAATTATATTGTTTTAGCAAAAAATTTAAAATTTCAAAAATATGAATGTTAAAGGTAAATTGGAACAAAGATATTCTATAATAAGGTGATATATAATCCATACTTTCATATTACAAAACAAACTTCCTTATTCTTTAATTTTGAAAACAAAAAACTTCATTTTATATATCCACCCTACTACAATATCAAAAATATAAATTTCTGATCGCTAAAAAACCACAAGTCTACAATACCCAACTAAAAACCTCCAAAAATAAATGATAAAGCTTGTGGAGGAAGCAACCAAACAGATCTACAAGACTCTCGAAGATACAACACTTCCAAACTGACCTACATTAATAAAAGCCGTTCAAAAAAACCTTCGACGGCGAAAGACGTTTGCAATTCGTGTTGCGGGTTTTTTTCCAGATCAATATTGATCTGGATAGGTTTGTGACAACGTTTCTTTCAAGTTCTTGAACAGGTAAGGCTGAAATTAACCTTGATTTAGGTAATAAGGCTTAGATAATAACAACTTATTTTAGGTAATAACAGTGGATATATACCGTTTAAAAGCCAACAGACTAACAGTTGAAACAAATCTACGTTTATTCAAGTCACTTGATATTCTATCTTTGTTCAAATCATTTCTTTTCGGTCTTTGGCTGAGCAAACGAAGCCGCCAACGATGGTCCCGATGCCTCGACTTGATATCCACTGTCAGTCGGTAATAGAGCTCCGCCACCAGATGCTTCATCTTTCTTCGTAGTCGGTTTGACCGTCGACTTGCCTGCGTCGTTCTTGCCGTTCTCGTCGACTTTAGCGACGGCCGTCTTTGTGTCCAAAGCATTAGGACTGAAATTTTAAAATTTAGGCTTAAAATTCAAAGTTTAGGACATAAAATTTAAAAAAACATTCTCCACACAATCCTAAGAAACATATAAATCCAAAATGAAGCTGACTTTCAAAGAAATACCAACAAGAACATCAACTTACTCTTGTTTGATTGGCGTTCCTCCAGGTGAACATTTAGCTGCACCCTTTTCTGCTGATTTCTTCTTTGCGCAGTTAAACAGATAAGAGATGACTAAAATGATCGTGGACAACAATATAACCAACATTTCCGTCGAGTTCATCCTTTCAACCATAGGTCGACCTTATTCGAAAACTGATGAACAGAGGAAACACAGCCGATTCGGTTGACAAAATTGGTAAATAAAGCAAAATTTTAAACATTTTTACAAATTTAAGTCCCTTTTTTACAAATTACTAGCAAAAAATTGCAATATTCGGTTTGAACAACGAAAAACCGGCACAGAATACTTTGCATAACTATTATACAAGAGTCCCACCACGGAAACAACTAACAGCAAAAAGTGCTTGGCTTTAAGACGCAGCAAAAAATATTTTGTAAAATATTAATTTTTCTTCAAAATTCTTATTCTTTTCGTTAGTTGAATCACAAAACTACAAAACTAAATGGCTGGAGTGATTGAAGATGGTGTTAATAATGGTGTAGAACATGTTGAGGATGATATTGATGAGGGAGAGGGAAAGATCATTGAAGAACGCGACAAAGAAGAGATCTTTGTTAAACCTTTGTACTCATATTACTGCCATTGTGGACAGGTATGTCATTATTGTGGGTTTTCTTGAATTTTGGGGCGTAATAGACAATGATTTTAATTATTTTAGATGGGATTGATCAGTGATACGCCGCTAAGCCGAATGCCATTGAGAAAGCGAGACAAAGCTAGAGTTATAGACCCAAAATGGACATCAGCAAGGCTTTTTGTCGAACAAGGAGAGACATTTTATGTTAGAAGGTAAGCATTTTATTGGATTTTTGATTTTTAGGCAAGAACTTTTATTGAGTAATAAAGATGTCTAAAGCAATATATTTTAATTTATCAAGCTGCAAGTTAAAATTTTTAACTGATGTGAACGAAAAAATTTATTTCTTATCGTTTTAGACAATTCAGAACAAGAGTGTTGAACACATTTTACCTTTAACTATCTTATTTTAGAAAAGAAGGTCTAGAACAGCAATATCGAAGGCAGTGTAAGAAATGTGGAGTGCCATTATTTTATCAACATCCGTTTAATCTTGGTATAACATTTATTTTTGACGATGCTTTGTTAACAGCTAAACAATTGGGAGGAAAAGTGGCAAACAATGAAGAACTGATGACGAAGATGGTATTGACAAAACATATTCGAAATCAAGGAAAAGTGGGGTCGGTTACCATCTCAACAGTTGCTGAGGAGGAAGAGGATGTTGAACAAGTAAGAACTTATTTTATTTGGATTTTAGATGACATTCATGGTTGGATTTTGAAATATAAGACTTCAGGAGTCCAAACTAAGGCTCTGCTCGTAGTCCGGCCAGAAAAATTAGGCTTTAAGATTCACTTATGCTGTATGGACTATGTGAATTAAAGTAAAATTTTTCAATTTCAGCGTGACGCCTTGGAGACATACACATCAAACGCAAGGATAGTAGAAGATCAAATGCGACGACGAGGAATGGTTCGCCAACGTCTTCAAGGCGATGAATCTACAGCGCCAGAAGCCAAGAAAACCAAAAAAGGCACATTGTTGTTATAATGGCTTTCTCAACGTGATGTTCTTATTATGATACTCAATATTTATCAATAATTGGATGTACAGAAGGTAATAAACTTTGTTTTAAAGGTAAAAAAGGAGGTATTGTTACTTGTTTTAGCCTTTTTTTGTTTTTAAATTTTAAAAAGTAGACTACACTAAGGGATGTTTATATACTAAAATAGTTCATGGCCGTAAAAGGTCTCTATGTTCAAACCAATCAAGATTCGTAAATTAAGACTAATTTCAAAGCTAAATATAGAGTCATTCTTGACGTAGGCCAGCCTCTGAGTCAGTAAATTTACACGGAATAATAAAGAATCTGAAACGATTGTTCATTTTTGTAGCCTTTTTAACTTTTTTATGCTAAAAGCAGGCTTTTAGGCCAAGTGACGTGGCTTGTAGTAGTTTTTAGCTGGGGCGTCGCTACGGATTTTCTCTGGGGGGATAGATCAAGATTTTGGGTTTTACAGTGTAAAAGGCTAAATGGGCCTACACTTTTAAATTTGTAAGCGTAGCTTGCTTGGAAAGTCGAAAAACGTGCTTTACTTAAGCGCAAAGCAAAATTTTTTTTTGTGAATTGCTGGTGACATAAAGGATTCAAATAAATTTTTTGAGCTGATTCTGAGCGGGATAGGTTGAGTACTCTTCTTCGCAGTGAGACGACTTTCAAATTTATAGATACAGTGAAACTCCTGTATAACCAGCTCCTATATAGCGAAAACCTCGTATAACGAACAACTTTAGAATCCCCGTCTACCACTACACAGTGCATTTAAAACTCCTCTATAACGAACAAATTTCAACTCCCCGAGCTATTCGTTATACAGGAGTTCCACTTTATTTTTATTTTTTAACGATTGTAAAAGTATACTGAAGGCAGAAATTTTTGACCCCCCCCCCTCTAACTTGGCTGTCAGTGAACCGATTGGTATACTTGTTTTTGTATTTTTTTTAAAGACTTCTTCCTCCCCCCCCCCTTTATAACCTTAACTATTCTTTTTAGTTGTGGTTTTTTATTCGCAAAAAACAATTGAACCGAGCACGTTTTGGTGTTGGCCGCCCTTAACTCCTTTGCACCAATTAAATTTTTGTTTTTTAATTTTGCCTAAAAGTAAAAACCATTTCTCTCGGCCAAACTTTCAAAATAAGGGCGTCAAGTTTTGTGAAGTGCGGAGCAAAAAACTTGAAGCCAAAATTCAAAAAGCCGGGCGAAATGAAGAAGCTCCGGAAGCGAATCTGAGGCAAAAAATTATTTATTTTTTTGTGCATTTGATATTGGCCGTACTTGATAATGTGGAACGGTTTGGAGGAGGAAATGGGGAGAAGGGTTTATTGTTGGGGAGAAGGGGGTGGTGAATGACAAGGGGAGGGAAAAGGAAGTGGGGATTTTTTGTTTTTAAGGATGGGGAGGATAGGATTAAGGGTTAAAAAGTAGTCTTTTTGGAATAAGGTAGAGGCAATGATATAAAAAACATATTTCAAGTTTAAAAAAAGTTTCACAGGTACCTCTAACTTGATATTGGTGCTTGAACTTTTGTTAGGAGAAGAGGGTTGAAGGGGGAGGAGGGAGGGGGGGATTGGCAATGTTACGCTAGTTTGATGAAAGAGTGGGAAATATGATCCAAAAATTTTAAAGCTTGAAATTTTTGAAAAAACTTGTGTGTGGGGTAGGGGGAGGTTGGGCTAGACTATGCTCGGCCGACTGGGCTGGACTATGCTGGACTGGAAAATGCTGGATAGGACTATGCTGTACTGGGCTATGGTGGGCAGGATAAAGCAAGGCAAGTCGAGGAAGGCAAGGCAGGCCAAGGCAAGGTAAATTTTTTATGCTTTATATCTTCACCTTTTCTAATTCAAATCGGTTTTTTCAAAAGAATATTAATATCTTGAATTCAACAGCGTTTGATTCAGTAATTTTCAGCTTTTTGAATCAATCCTTTCCCTATGATATTTACTATATGATTTTGTTATGTGAAGTGGATGAATAATTCAAAACAATTAGGGTGTTTACAGATCTTACGCTTTTATGAGAAAGTACTATTGGGTAATAACTAACTATGATTACTTCCTTCTAGCACTTACTAAGCACTACAACTTGTGTCTGGGACTTGTTTTTGTGGCGGAAGTTTTAAATTTGGAAATTTTTAATTATGGGGGCATGATAAAGGCTAAAGTAACTTAAGTGTTATATAAAAGCATAGTAAAGGTTAATGAAAAGACTTTTGCATATCAACTCTAACAATTTTTTCCCATCTGAGGATTTTTCAAGCTCTGTAAATGCTGTAAAACATATCTTAAGCAGTCAAAAAAGTCTTGTCGTTTTTGACCAGTTCAATCAATAAAAATTGACGACAATGCTTTTAATATGATAAAAAACGCCATATAATGTAAATCCAAATGCCATTTCTCATAAAAGTCTTCCCACATTGTCAATGACAATATTTTTTTGACAAAATTAACTTCATTACACAAGTGGAACATAATTTTATTTGGTTGGACATGTACAATGTTGGAGGTCAATCTGCTTGAGAGGGAAATAAAATTAAGAGGCCAACGACGCAAGACTATCTTCTTTTTGGTATAAATTGAATGTTTATCCGGGAAGAGGGGGGGGGGGGGGCTCAAGGGCTTATGTGAAATAGCAATGGGTATTAGTTCCCTATACATATTATATTATACATGATGAATATTAACTTTTACGGTTGTAGTAGGTGTTTTTAATTTTGTGTTAGTTGTTTTTGGTATAAGGAAAGGATTTTTATTATGTTTTAGAAAGCAAGGGTAGGGTAAAGCAAAATAGTGTTAGGAAGGTCTGGAGAATACAGGGTAAGGTAGGGTTGAGTAGCGTAGAGTAGAGCAGTGAAAGACAAGGCAAAACAAAGTAGGATAAAATTGGTCGGGGTTAGGATAAAACGGGGAGAGGACGGGCAGCGCAAGGTAAGGTAGGGTAGGGTAGAGCAGGGCAGAGTACAAACTTATAAATAGTAAACCCCTTCTTTAAGATGTTTTTTCAGTCACATTAGTTTAAGAATGACAAGCCGTCATGGCATTATGATTATATTAATCTGACTTGAGGGCTTCTATGATTAGTTTATAACTCTTTCATTTTGTTTATACCTACTTCTTTAGATGGTTTAGAGAAAAATGGGTAGTAATGTGCTTAGTATTAGCATTTCAAAATATATTTTTTTAAATTTAAAAAATTTTTGAATTGATTTTGTTAAATTTTAATGTTTTTCAAGACCGAAGACCACTCTAAACACCTCTAAAACCAAAAGACTTGTAACGTTTAATTAGTAGTAATTTGTAAAAGCCAATCTGTTCGAACTGACCTCGAAACAACTTTACTAACGACATAACGGCCTTTGAAAGTTGTTAATGCGGTTTTTGTTTATTTTTGCAAATTTTCTTGCCGAGACCCGGAAACGTTTCGTGTTCTTGAAGTCTGGGAGGGGATGGTAATGTTTAAATGGTGGCTTTTTCATTTTCAAATTTAATTTAGGATTGATGTTTTATGACGTTTTTGTGACAAGTTATACTAGTTTTTTGAGGAGGGGGTTTGTAACACCCAGTTTGGTAAGGGGAAAGGGTAGACGTTGGCTTTTAAAAGGGATGGGGGAAGGTGTTACAGTTTAAATTTGTTATAACAAGTTCAGTTTTTAACGTTGCTTTACTATACCTTATTCTGTCTTACCCTACAGATAAGAGTGAGAAACGGGCCGTGTAGTTTCAGTCTAGCCTGTTTTCAAAATTAAAAAAAATTTTTAAATTGGACGGATCAGGCCGGGCCTACAATATTTTTTGACTGGGCTGTGCGGGCCTAGAATTTTTTTGACAACGCCGTGCCGGGCCGGCTTGAGAAAAAATGAAAACGGGCCGAGCCTGAGCGTTTGGTCTTGGGCTTGGTCAAGCTTCAAAAATTAGCGTGCCTCAGCTCGTTTTTCTCACCCTTACCTACAATTCTCTATACTTTTTTTGAGAAAACTTTAAGAATAGGGTAAAAATGATGTATGGAGAGGGTGGGGGCAGGTCTTGTTTTTTGTGGCTTTAGCATTGACAATAGAAAACAATTACCTCTCACTGTTTGATATGTCAATGTATGACAGGATAATGTGAGTTTTGTCATAGTACAAGCGCCTAACCGCCTTTTCCTTATGATTTTTCACTTTTTTTTATTTTTGATTTTTTTGAAGTATGACATACGCCATGAGCACGAGGTGCGGTTGAAAAAATTTTTATTTATTATTGTTAACTATAAACTGAAATAAGTAGAGTTTATCACTTACTTATCTATTATTTGAGATTGACGTAGGTTTTGACTATTTTTGTTTCGTTTTGTATTGTCTTTCTGATAAGGCGATGAGGGTGTAATAATAAACTACAAAGGTCTGTAAGATAACTTTAGAAATAAATTTTTAATATTTAAAACCTACGTAAACCTTAGGGCAGAGAAGGGCAGTGCAGGGCAGGGAAAGACATAAAGAACAGACCGGCCTGGGCCGCGTTTAAAAGATGGGCCCAGGCTGCTCCTCATGTCTAGGCAAAGCGTAGACTCAGGGCAGGGCGTGGCAAAGCGGAGCAAGGCAGGCATAACAGGGTAGATTTATTTTAACTCAAAAAGCCTTCAACGTGTTTACAAAAACCATTTGTAATAAACCTCCACATGCAAGTAGTTATCAACCATCTGTCTACTTTTTCTATTACATTATCTTTTAAAATCGCTTTTTATCATTTTCAGTTCAACTTAACTTTTGAAATCTTTTGCAGTGATATCCTTCGACGGGTTTTGCAAATGATATGTTATTCAACCTATAATTTGAGTCAAACAGCTCAATTCAAAAAGATCTATTCACATAACTTATGATTTGGGTTTTTTATTGTTTTTGGGAGCTTTTTGATTATGTTTTGAATTTTTTCAAATTTCTGATTACTTTTTTGAATTGTTTTGCAATTTTTTGTGTTTTTGGAGGTTGACAGCTTACTAAAAAGATGACCGACAT